AATGGTTTGCTGAGTACTGTTTTGAAGCTTCGAGTTTGGCATTGTGGCCGTCACCAATGAGCTTTTTTTTTGAGCTAGCAACAGTGACACTTGAGCTCAGTGGCTGCGCTTGGTTTTGACTCATCCATAGCAGGAAACAATGGCAGCTAATCTGGTCACACATGTTCTCGTATTACAGGTAAACAGTACACTACAATATGTTGAGAGATGATGAGAGAAATAAGGCAACACAGTAACAGAATCTTGATTCATATTTGATCAGCACTGCCTAGTTTGACAGTTTGATGAGTTTGGTGCGTTGAGCTGGACAGATTCACTGAGAATGACTTGTCAATCATAAGGTAGCAATAGCCAATAGCACACTTTGCTATCATCTATTTTTCTCTTAACTGGACCATAATTTCCTAAATGAACATAGTAATGGAAGAAGACTGGGACCATAAATTCATTAATACATTTAGTAAATCAAGTCAGAAATACGCTCCTTCCCCCATAAAACTCAATACTATCAGACCTAATTGCTAGAATAAAACCACAAACGTTTGCATGCACTCGAGTCGTTCCACTAACTTTTCACGCAATCAAGCTACTTTACTTTAACTTCAGTCTGATGGCAAAGACCCACTGAAAACTAATTGTCTCACTGTGGAATGCCAACACTTTACAAGGTTATCAGCCAGCATTGTGTAAATGAGCAATGTTCTCCAACAATTTACATGACTTTATGCCATGCAGCATTCATATTATTTATACCTATAATCACCTATAGTCATAGAAAAGAGGAAACAGTCTGCAATAATGATATTGTTCTCCACAGCAGGGAAAGACAACACATCCTGACTTTATCACTTTTTCCATTCAGTTCAAATTACTATGCAACTTTTCTGTGTTATCTGCTATCCTACCATGCCTGGATATATGGCTGAAAATGAACAACAGTGAACTTATCTTAACACAGGGTACAGATATCCAAATTCAGGTATTGGGATCAGATTGGAACTGAAAAAAGTGAATTGATGCATCTCTTTGCAATGGACACACATAATCTATAAATGAATGAATCTTTACATAAAGCAGACCCCTCTAATATAACAATAATAATACAATATTTAAACTGCTAGCAGTGATGATCGGGCCCTCGCACTCCACGCAACTCTGGGTGTGCTGCAGCCACATCACGTGCAAATGTAACGTGCAAACCGCGACATGAATATTGGCACTTAGATGTGTTTAGGCCAGGGCTCTTAACAAACTTGTGAGGTTTGGGTGCAAATGGAGAATCTGTACTGAAGTTAGGTTTAGCAGTAAGGGTTAGGGTTTCCACCATCATATCAAGGCTGATTTTTGAAGGCACGCCACGGACACACCGTTTGACTGAATGTAAAGATTTTGATAACGTAACATCCTAAACTTCTATGGATTGTCTGGAGTCAACTGGAAGTCGTTCTGATCAATTCACTAGGAGATTTGTCAAAATAGAAGCCCCGAAATTGCCGTAAATGCAACACAGTTTGACATTCCATTCAAAATGTCCGACTTTGACGGCACACCACAGGCCCTTCAACGTACAGTCACAAATAGGACAACTTTTAATCAGCAATATTTTTTGACTGTTTTGAACAATTTTGAAGTAGATCCGATAAATTCCCTAGGAGGAGGTCATTTAAATACAAGGCGAAAAACTCACCGAAAATGACCACGGAATTTAAAATGGCCGACTTCCTGTCGGGTTTGGAGTATGGTTCTAAGAGGCTTTTTTGCTTGTCTGATCACGATACACATGAGTACCAATTTCTGTACATGTCATATGTGTCTTGGGGGCTGAGTCTGGGGGGCGTGGCTAAGCCATTTTGCGACGCCCATGTTTGGGACCAAGACATAACGTAAATGTTCCCCCACGACTAAATTTTTTTGCAAAGTTTCACAAGTTTTCAGGCATGTTTAGCCCCCCAAAACTGATCAAATGTTAAAACAACAAGGTGAGGCTTGCTCCATCGCTACTGCAACACGGTTGAATAAAAATTCATAAGATTCATAAGATGTCAACAGTCACAAGGGTCTTGTGACCAAATTTCAGCTGGATGTGGTCAATCTGCTGGGAGAAATACATACAAGTGTAATAAATTGTATTTCCCTTTACCATGAGGTGGCACTACCACTTTTCCTGAATATTATCACATAGATGTGTTCAGGGCGGGACTCTTGTCAGACACTTGAAGTTTGGTGCTGACTGGACGATGTAAACTCAAGTTACAGCAAATTCATGTGTGTCCACGTTTGACACCACGCCGCTGACACGCCTTTCAACGACAACTCACCACATTCATCACATATCATCAACAATATGTTTTGCATTTCCTCACCAAATTTCAAGTATAAAACATTTAATTCCTGTTGCCAGTAGGGGGCGCTATGAGTACGACTGAATATTATCATGTAGACGTGTTCAGGGCGGGACTCTTATCAAACGTCCTGAGATAACTTCTGTTATGAATTGGCGCTATACAAATAAAATTGAATGGAATTGAATTGAAACGTGAAATTTCGTTGAGACTGGACCACGTACGCTGAACTTGTGACAACTTCCTGTGTCACGGAAAAACGTCAAATTTTGGTTCCACACCACGGGCACGCTGTTTGACGCACAGTAACAAACAACACAACTTTTTAACCGAGAAGGTCTTTAGATGGCAGTGTCCGAATGTGAAGTCGAGAAGGTGAAGGTGTCCATTAAAATACAACGCCAAAAATGGCCGCTAAATCCAAAATGGCCGACTTCTGTTGGGTTTGGGATATGGCTACAAGAGGATTTTTTTGTACATCAGGACGTGGTCTACATGGGTATCACTTTTCATACTCAAGCGATTCTCCCCGATGTGAGATCAATAAAGTCTATCTTATCTAAGATCATAAAGCCAATTTCAAATTATTAAACTGGCTACTTAAAAAAAACAGTATAAGACCATATTACTTTTCATGTGCATTAAATTACTAATTACGTGGAACATAGTAGCACACAAATCTTTTCATGTAAATACTGAAAATGATTTTGTTATCAACATCACATCAGTCAACCTAAATGTTTGACTTTCAGTCACTCTAAATGGTTACAGTATACGATCTAAAAAGCAGTTATAGCTATAAAATCAGCAGCCATAGGATGAAGGGAAAGTAAAAGGCTGACCTCTGTGTAACCTCAGCCTGCGGATGCCTCCCAACCCCTTTACCTAAGGCTAAGATTAACATGTCAACCAGGCAGCCTGTATAAAAGGGAACATGGACACGTCTTGTCTATTGAGCTGCATTGTAGGAAACTATGCTCCACTCAAAAACAAACCCAGCTAGGGTTGTAGCTACCACTGAGGTCATGTTCTTTGTATTTTTCTAGGAATTTGGGGGTTTTAGAAATAGAATTTAGAATGGTGCAAGAAAAGTGAATTAATTTGAAATTTACATTCTACAACGTGTTTCTAGTTATTTCATTTATATTAAATTTGAGGAAACCATTTATTTTTCAGATCTGTAATTTTCTAAGAATTTTCCCTGAAGTTCCCCAGAAAAAAACTATATAATTTGGCACAAATTATAGTAAATATACAGAAAAAGTTCCGTTATTTCATTTATTTTCATTAGTTGTGCTGAGTTGATGAGCATTTGTTGTTTTTCTGGGGAATTTCTATTAAACCCTTTTAAATTTAAAAACAACTTTTATTCAATATATGTTGTCAACTAACTGAAAGACTTAATAGGTTGCCATAGCAATTAATTGGAATTCATCAACTAGAAGGGTGCCAACTGTATTTTCCCTATAACTAGTACTAAATTACTTAATCTGGGAAAGTCCTAAATTTTATGACAGTATATGTGTTGGCCTGCTTCCCGACAAATGGACGCAATGTTTTTTACACAAAGAGTGAAATAAGTTAATGTATAACTTTTACCGAATTTGCAAGAAGGCCCACATATATAGGAATTTGCTGTAGACAGTGTTTCAGAGTTTATAAAATTTCCCCTCACTGACTCAAAATTGTGCAATTTTTTAAGGGAGTCTGGTGATAATGCAGTTACTAGTTCAATGGTGAAATCAGTTTAAAGAGAAATACAAATTTGCATTATAGTGAACCAAAAGCAAATCAAACAGCGTGTTACATTTGTACCCACAGGACATCAGCTGAGTAAACGACCATCCCTTTTTTTTCTTACTATGACGAAGACTTAAACACAAATGTTGCATGTTATTTAAAGCTCTCAAAATATCCATGTGGTCTAGATCTCATCTTTCCAGATCCTGTCTCAGTTGTCCTATCTATTGAGAGCTGACTGATGGCAGAAGCTCCTTGACCTTTATAGCGTCATATAACTTTTTAATTCTCTATTTTCATATTGTATGTTTTTAAACTAATTAAAATGCTGTTAAAACTGTATAAATCTAAGTTTTCAGCCTTACTGCAGCATATTCTACACTCCCTCCCATATAGCGCTGTTACCTGGACTAGATACAGAGCCAAGCCTCCACCTCAGGCTCAGATTTACAGGTCAACTCAGAAACAAGTCAATGAGACCCAGCAACACTTTACATACCACTGGTGTTTACAACAAAATGGAGGGAGGAAGGGGGTTGTGCTTGTGTGTGTGGGAAGAGGAATTTTCTTGAGAAGATGAACTGTAGGACAGGTGAAAGTTGAAAAGGTCACACAAAGACACAAGTCTGGAAGAGAAACGGCCAGTGAAACACAATATTGTTGGATGTGATATACAGAGGTGAGATGTGGGACAGCTCAGAAGTAAAAACAGAAGTGGGAAAAAGGTAGGAACACATTAAAGCTACAGAAAAGAATTTGTAACTAAATATAAATCAGCTGGTAACAGTTGTGATGTAGAATAATGGAAGGAACTATTACAGGAAAATTCTAGAAAGCACATTCAAGTAATTGAATGACAATATCAAAGAGAGTATCGAGTAAATTCAGTTCCTCTCCACTGCTCACTGACAGTTTTACCTGTCGTAGGTCAATGAACGCCAGCTGGAGTGTGTCTCCTTGAAAGCCAGGGACCGGCTCTGAACTGGCAAACACTGAGAGGAAACAAAAGACAGACAATAATTACTTAAAAATTACAGAAATCAGTACACATAGCTAGAGTCCAAAACTGTGCCTCCGAATGGACTGTTCTGAGACCACATTGAAAGAAAGTAGGCAGTGTGGTCTATAGTCATTCAACTAAAAGCTGAGTAAAAGAAAGATTAAAATACACCTCAATAAAAGTAACCAGACACTTTCACTTTCATTGTTACTATAACTATTAACTATAAAAAAAGAAAGGAAAAGAGGCCCTTAATGTTTGAATTAAAACTGTAACAAAACTTTAAAACAGAACACATTTTTTTAATAAAATATTTGTGGAAAACCCTAACCTTCACCAACTGAAAGTCACTTGAGTGGTCCAATTTTGGATTTTTGAGGTCGGTACAAATTGTACGGTTGACAATGCTACATTTATTTATGACGTTTCGGTCCTGACCTTCATTGGGCAAATGGTTCAAGACAATGAGATGAAATTTTAAATAGGAAGTGGCTACAAGTCTACATTGCCACAGGCTAATCTTTCAATTCTCTTCTCTTATTACCATAACATATTAACAAACATAAGTTGGTTTTAAATGACAAAACAATGCAGGATATTTTCACTGATGATACTATGCCCCGGCGGACAACCAAGTTAAAAGACAAATCTGGGATTTCTCTATAGAAACAAATCTTACTTCTCTACTCAAGAGACAATTGTACAGCTTACAAAAATGTTAGCATTGAGTATGGTGATGTATGCATGCATACCTTTACATTTAATAAATTTAATTTCAGCTGTATCATGTTTAAACTAAGCTTGGACACTTTTACATACTATAAGGGTTTGGAATCTTTGGGTATTTCGCAATTTGATTTGGTTCTTGGTGTCACAATTTGATAGGCAGGTTAGTCAGCTTGTTTGTTAATGCTGTAGTTTGTTGCTCCACTCTGTTACCTTTAGCCTCTGGGTGATGATGTATGATGTTTTAACTAAAAAAAGAAACTCACATTCATCTTACAAAGTTTATTGATCAGTCTGAGCACAGGATTCCATTTTTACTACTTTACTATTTATTGGAAGGCATGTAGATAAAATATTTAATGATAACCTCAATAAAAATAACGCTTATTTTTTACTTACATTCACATTGAATGACATCTAAGTTGAATTGCTGAATGGCCCCCATGCTGATTTGTTTGAGTTCTGTGTCCAGTAGCATCTGCATCAGTGATGTGGACAGATGTTTGCAGGCTGACATACAAGCTGTCTGGGCCACTTTGCCCTGCAGGGAGAGAGACAGTGAGAAGGAGGGAGGACAAGGAAGGTGTGCAGAGGAAGAGAGGATGCAAGAGAGGTAGGAAAGATGGATAGGTATAGGAAATATTAAGATGGGGAAGATGAGGACGAGATGGCAGGGAGAGACAACATTGGAAGGGGTGTACATTAATAAAAGGAGGAAGAGATCGACCACAGAAAGGATTGGGGTATAAGAATGTGTGGGAAGTACACAGATGAGTAAAAGGAGGAGAGTAAATAAGTATAAAGGAGATTGTGGAAAACAGTCAGGAGGAAAGTAAGGGGTAAAATAGTGAAAGAACAGAAGGGGGGTTTGTGGGAAGAGGATATAGGTGTAAAATAGATATAAGGGATAAAGAGCAAGAAGGGCAAAAGAGAACCAACTGTTAGCTACACCTTGAATACTGGATAAACAGAGACACAGGTGCAAATAGTCAAAGTAACAAGCACTTCACACAATCTACTACCTAGCCCAGGGGTCAGGAACCTATCAGTTGTGATCGATAAAACGTATTCAAAGACATGTCATTATTCACCTTTCTTCTAATTTCAAAAGTTTTTTAACAACAAATTAGTTTATTAATTACAGTCTTTCTGCTTAGAGAATTTGACAGTTACCAAACCTCACGTAACATGTAAATGAGTTTTGTAAAACATGACTTATCCATCACTTGCATGACCATTGAAGAACAAGATATACAGCAATATAGCTATTAATGAAGTTATTCTTAAAAGGCATACTGATCAGGATCTTTCCAAGCTGTTTGCACCATTCAAAGTTGGCAGCAATGGTAGAACAAGGTAGACAGCAAATGGGGGAGCACCGTTACCAAGAACAAAGCAATGAATCAAATGAAATAAAACGTTATTTTCTGATTGTTTTACATGGGTTCCATTTAAAGCACCGCCGCACAATCCTGCAGAAGGTGCGCATTGGCAGATTTTGTGTCGAAGGCGCACTGTTTGCTGTGTGTAGCTCAGCCCATCCTCAGTCAGAACAGAAACAGCAGCACTTTATACATTCATATAGCATAGCCTGACCATACTTAATTTTAGTGCTGTGCCAGCGATCTATTCGCTACGTTTTTATAGAGCCCCAACCTTAAAACCCTGCGAGCTGCCCTAATGTTGATGCCCAGAAAGGTCCCGTATAGAGCAAAATAAACGTTTAAAGCAGTGATTTGTATCGATGCATAGTGTTGATACAAACCCTTATGGTAACAACCAATCATAATGACAATGAATTATTGAAATAGAAGCAAGGCACAAATTTGCAAAAAAACAGAGAATGTGGGTGTTTGGTCTTAGAAAAAAAATTGTTATGGCTTTATCACAGATTAGAGCTCTGGACAGGAAACACTTTTAGAATAGAATTTAAAATCCTCCTCCTCACAAAGCTCTTCATGGTCAGGCCCCTTCATATCTTAAAGAGCTCATAGTACCCTATTACCCACTAGAACACTACGTTCTCTGAATGCTGGGCTACTTGTGGTTCCTATAGTCTCTAAAAGTAGAACAGGAGCCAGAGCCTTCAGTTACCAAGCTCCTCTCCTGTGGAGCCAGCTTCCAGTTGTGGTTCAGGAGGTAGACACCCTCTCCACATTCAAGAGTAGGCTTAAGACATTCCTCTTTGATAAAGCTTATAGTTAGGGCTGGATCAGGTGAGTCCTGAACCATCCCTTAGTTATGCTGCTATAGGCCTAGACTATTGGGGGATTTCCCATGGTGCACTGAGCTCCTCTCTTCCTCTCTCTTTCTGCACTCATTCATGTCCCACTAACGCATGTTACTAACTTCACTTCTTCCCCGGAGTTCTTGTGCTTTCTCGTCTCGCAGGTTCTTATCGATCCTGGTGGAGCTTCCTGTCACGGTCCTGCTTGACTGCCATTGCTAATATTACTGATATTATTATTATTATTATTACTACAGTTACTATTATTACTATTGTCATTGCTCGTTGTCCCCCATCGTTGCTGTTGTCGTCGTCATCGTCTTCTTCATGTTCATCATCATCAGTCACTACTATTGGTGTAGTTGTTGCTACTGTTGTTGCTACTGTTGTTGCTGTGCACCTGTCTGTCTGTCTGTCTGTCTGTTTCTGTCTCTCTCTCTCACTCACTCTCTTTCTCTCTAACCCCAACTGGTCGAGGCAGACAACCATCCACCTAGAGCCGAAGGATCTGTCCTAGGTTTCTGCCTCTTAACAGGCAGTTTTTCCTTGCCCCCGTCACCAAGTGCTTTCTCATGGTGGTACTGTTGGGTCTCTGTAAATAATGTTTTAAAGAGTTCGGTCTAGACCTGCTCTATTTGAAAAGTGTCCTGAGATAACTTCTGTTATGAATTGGCGCTATACAAATAAAATTGAATTGAATTGAATTGAAATTGTGTGTAGTTGACGAGTGAAAGATGATGTATCTGATGAGATGAAAAAAAATAATGATGAATGCAATTTAAATTTTTGGTTTAAATTTGATTGTTTATTTTGTTTTAGTTACCCCCCCCCAAAAAAAAATAAATATGTGTCCTCAGTTATTTTGAGTACTGCTCTGTGAACGGTTAAGGTCAGGCATACTGTCTGATTGAAACGTACAGAAAAAGATGAATATTTTACATTGGTTTTTGATGCCGCTATTGGGATGTGGTATTAGTCTGATTGTATTAATTGTATTGCCTTGATTGGCAAACACAACATGAGATGACACATACTTACAAGTCCTATTCAGATTGAAGGCAAAATAATGTACATAATTAATGAGAAAAGTCAATGACCAAGTCATCTGTATATTGCAAATAAATTGGAATATTTAAGTCATGTATAGAAGGAAAAGTTGACTTCAATTAATGGGTTTGTTGTATTCATTAGTATAATGTGGAATCTAATTAAAAACGTTAATATAAATGGTAATTAACAGCCTTTACAAGACAAAAAGGTTCCCAACCCCTGATCTAGCCTAATAAATAACTGTGCAATAGAAATCCTGTCAAAAAAAACAAAAACAGTTCTTAACTATACTGGACAGTTTTTAATTGAACTTTTATGTAATTTGCTATAACCTTACCATTAATATCTGCTAAAAAATTTGATTACCATGTCCAATTATCATCATATCAGGTCATAAAACCTCTCACTGAAAGGTACGAGACCATTTATTAGTGCTGTCAATTTCCCAACATGTGTTCTTTGCAAAACATCACACATAAAACTAAAATCACAGATAGACCAATGCATGCAGATAAGGTACAACATAAGTTCAATTAATAATTATACACAGAACACTACATACTTCCACAGCATCATGTTTACAACTCCAAAGCAAATAACAGTTGCGAGCGTTTCCACTACTTGAGGTATTCTTGATTTTGCTCCTTTTGTGAGCAGGTATGTTCTAACTTATTATCCACCTTGAAACAAGTGGAATTGCCATAAGTTAAACCTCCCCTCAAGTGTACGAAACGCTTACAGTAACTTTGAATGGATCTGGAAATTACAGTTAGTATTTGTGGTAAACAGGAACAAAACAGCAAATCAACACAATCCATTCTCACAGATAGTCATGCAAAAACTCTCAAACTCAGGGATGATGTGGGGACCCCAAAGTCAATGATAAAGGAAACAACCCCATTAAAAACAATACTCAAGAGACAATCAGTGATCAAAAATCAATGATGGCACCTTGCAAAATGTTTTCTTTTTTTACCTTGGGGAGCCACGGAGGCTTCACACACACACACACACACACACACACACACACACACACACACACACACACACACACACACACACACACACACACACACACACACACACACACACACACACACACACACACACACACACACACACACACACACACACACACACACTTTTCCTTTGTTTGAGCCCCACAACATCCCTTTTAACATCCTTCATGCTGACAATTGACAGACAGCAGTGATACATGGTGTGGCAGCAATAAAGGCTGTCCATTCTCTTTAAATAAGCTGGTATCACATCTCAGCCTAATGAGTGCACATCTGTTACATCACAAAGCAAATTTATGAGTCTGCATAGACGGGTAGCTGACTTAGGGGCCGTTAACAAACAAACAGATTTGCAAATAAGGGGAAACTCTATGCATGCCCACAGAAAAAAGGGCCTGCTCATACTCAAAATCCACACTGAGTCATCTAAATTTGAAAACTAATTTTGTGGTGGTTGATGGTTCTTTAGCAGTAAAGTTAGGAAGATTGTCAGTTCTGAATGTTTCAGTGTGGGTCAAGTAAATTCGACTGTATGATGTGTCCTCCGACCACATGGAAAGGCAAAAGTGTTCATACCTGTTCTAAATGGCCATACTCAAAGGCAGGGAGAAAAATGCTGTGAGGAAGCGGGGCGAGATACAGCTGCATCTTTTCTTTAAGACATTTACGGTGCACTTGGCTGATCACATAAATAGTGATGGAAGGGGAAAGAAATAGCTTGAGAAAGAAGGTTGAACATTTTCTCAAAGTAATTCATTAAGTGTTGTTTCACTTGGACAAGTGTCTTTTTCTACTTGGGGAGACACAAACTGATTAGCATAGGTTATCTACAGTACATCTAAGTAGTAAGAGAACATAACTTAACATTAAATTAAAAAGAAAACCAATAAAGCGGAAAATAACACTAGAGCTTTGATTCGCTGCCCGAATCCGATTGGACCCAACTTGACCTGCTGGGTTTGGGACGGTTTTGTGCCCAAAACGGCTGCCGTATGTTGGGCTTGGAAGAATTATTAATTTAGTAATTTTTAATATGGTACATTAAAAATGCATGCGATTGTAATTAATGAGTTTATTTATTTGTTTTGATATTAATATACATTATACTATATGGAATGTATCTTTTTTTTAAGTCTTGACACATAATCTTTTCGGGCTCAAGTCAGTTCGGGCCTGATTTTTTGGGCCTGATCAAAGCTCTAAATGAAATTCTCAAAAGTAAAGTAAAAGCAGGAGGACTGGATAATGTATCAGAAATGTATGAATAAAATACAGCTCCAGATCTGTGTAAGAGCTGACAGTCACACACTGCCTCAATAAAAGCAAAGCAATGAGGGGAGAGAAAGTATACTGAGGCTCATTAAATACTTCCCATAATGCAGCTGGACAAGCAGTTGTTCCAAACACTACAAAAACAAATCCTAGGTATATATAGAATTTGATAATGGTATTAAAAGGGACGAGAATGAAATATGTCCAATCGCTTAGCAATTTATGAAGAGTCTGACTTTTTGTGTAGTACAGAAAGTGAAGCCTGAACAAGTCAGATGTTTTCCCCTCACTACCTCTATGGCCCTGTTTACACCCAGCATCTGCTCATAAATGGCAGAAATGGAATTTAATATTCATAGGTATGTGAGATGACAATGGCATGGCATGGGATGCCCCCCTTGAGAAGACAAAAAATGTTAACACCCCGACCACCCCATGTCACGTATTAACCATGATAGCGGAAGCAACTAATTAAGGTCACAAGTTGAGTTTTAGTAACATAGAACGACAATAGAATCAGCAACAGTTTATTTTTCCCTGCATAAATCATATTCATTCAATTAAGTTTCAACCCATATTTTTCCCCTTATCATCCACGCCCCACCTGCAGTGGCTGTATGCGCCACTGTTTGAGAACCACTTCCTTAGAATGACCCAAGTGGGGAACCACCATGTTTCTACAGTAGCCCAGAACGGACAATCCAAACACTATAGCTATAGATAGGATACCTTTCGCGTTTTTGCGAGTTTTGCGGCCACTGTAGTTTCTCCTACACACTTATACACACGGTACTTACTTGATTACAATCTGCAACTTCACTGGACTTAAGTTTTTTTCTTTCCTTGTAGAAACATGAGTTTCTCAGGGCATCACTGTACTGCCCAGTCAGCTACTCTGTGTGTATAAAGTAAGTCTTACTTGCCAACAATTCTTTTTTATTTTTTTATTTGAACATAAATTTTCAAATGAATTTTTTTTACCATTTACACTAAATTTGAGAGATATGATTCCAGTTGAGCATGGAAGACCGTTCTGGAACTTGGGAACATTGTGTGATAGCATAATCGAAGACCGTGAGATGCGGTGAAAAGCTAAGAAGAAGCTAGGAAGTGGAGCTTTGAGTTGATATTGCCTCACTTCTGAAACCAAAGCTATGCTCATGTGAAAGAGACACAGTAAAGAAGTAGTAGTAGCTACTGAAACCATGTCTTATGGAAAAACATAAGATTGACTTTGTATTTCAAGAGAGAGGTTGAGATACGTGCTGTCATTAGAGAACTTTCCCTTCTGGCTTTAGTTTCAGCTGTGGTGGATAGTCCTTGGTCTTTTCTCACTCAAAGATGAGAGTATTTATTGTTAAAACTCAAATGTACACACCATCCTTCCATGTCCTCACTAATGTACAAGAAGAACCAACAAGCCTGCAATAACGGAGCTGCCCCAGTCAAACATTAGCATGCTTTTCATCTCCCCTCTGCCTGTAGAATGGCAGCATAGTGGTGTAACAGCCAGGCAGGAATACTCACCGACATCGACGCATGGTCATTGTTGTTATTCTGAGCAGAGACACCCCCAAACCAACCAAAAATGGAAAAGGGGGAGGGAAAGAGGGAAAGGACAGGAAAAGAAATGTGGCAACAATAAATGGACAGGAGGAGGTAAATTCAACTAGAGATATCTTTCATGCTTCACAAGTCAAATTAATCAAGGAATACAACTAGTAAAACAAATGAGTTACAGCGCTGTTTATATAGGGGGTGTGGGTGGGAAGACAGCAGACATTCTTAAAAAACAAAAAACAAAATAAGTTGGAACTCATTTAAGGCAAGATAAGAGATGTTGGAGAGAACATCAGGCAAGGGCCCACTGAGAGTGGAACTGAACAGGCTGTGGCTGTCAGCTATGTGGACCAAAACACACATTTACTGACCAAGTCTGTCACAATTTGATATCACCAAATGTGTCTTGTTGAAGATAATGTCAGTATGTGCAAAAGCAGTCTACAAGTCAGGAACAGCAGTAACCATGCAGATGGACAGATCACCAACGCTACACATACTCCGTTCAACTTTAAATTCACATGTAAAACAATTCACTTTCAGACAGTGCACACATTTTAATAGGGATGTGATAAACATACAGCAAAAGAACAGAGGACAGTTTAGGGAACACATAAAGAAAACAGAAAAACAAATGAAAAGATCAAATCCCTATTATCAACAAAAACACAATCAACACGGCCCACAACATTTGACAGCAGTCTAAAAACCAAGAAGACAATGTCCCACAGTTCCAAAAGAAAAGCGGCGGGTTCAATGGGTCAGAGGTCAGTAGGTGGATCAGACTCACCGGTAGGTGTGTGAAGACCTGGAAAGTGGAACGCAGGAAGTTGATCAGGTCCATGAGGTATCCAGAGGCACGACCGTCCGACTCAGCCATGCCCCATTCGTAGTCTGCCAGCTGGATAAACTCATCGATCTTTTGGTTAAGTTTGGTATAAATCTCTCCCTCTGCAGCATGCCGAGCATCCTGGAAAATATCTTTTATAAATATATTTGACAAGACGTAATAGGACTGAATACAGTTTTATCTACAGTCATTAAGGAATAAAGACAAATTTACAATTAGAATATTTACTGTTATGATTATTATAAAACCATTATAAACCTCGTGAGGCAGTAGACATCACAAGATCATATGAGAATCCATCTTTAAATCTATATGCTTATGTTAGAACACAGTGGTTTCCTCAGCGTCGTATGAGGAAGTATTGGCAGGTACGACATGAGCTACAGGCATGGTTCGCTGTGTGTTTTTGACGACATGTGTGAGAAGTTAGTTTTAAGAAAACATTTTTCCAATCCACTGTTTAAATCTTTTAAGGATTTTAGTTTTCTGACGTCTGGATCTTAAGTTATCAGAGAAACATGCTGAGCTAATGTTAGCAGCAGCTCGGCTTGCAGATCCAGGATGTCCTTTGTCTGCCCAACAGTGTGGGAGAAGCAGTAATTTTTAAGGTGGAACTTCTTTATTCAGTGTTTTTAGCTGTTTTGATCAGCTGGTCTGTTTGTTTTGGAGAGGAGGAGACCTCTGTGAATAATTGGGCTCCCGGTAGAAACCTCCTGAACCATGAACACTGAAGGAATCCTAACCAAGGGAAGGTGAACTCCCATGATCCCATGCTACTTACACCCCATAGCGGCAGAAATTATATACTGTACGTTTTAGACAGACAAAGAAGAAGAATCCAAATTACATTCACGCTACCTTGAATGTGGATAAGCCATAGAGTCTTGTGGTGTGTACGGTTTCAGGTAAGACGTTGGTGATGTTTGTTATAAACTCCTCCAGATACCTGCAGGCCTGCTCCAGGTGGGTGGTGTTAATGATGATCTGCACCAACTACAGAAGGAAGGTTACTATTTTAGACTCAATGACTTAATTCTTAGTCTACATGATGTGTGTGTGTGATTAGTAACAGCATTGTTGTTCCTACCTCAGTCAGTCCTATGTGTGGTTTCTTGATGAGGTTTTGCAGACAGCTGCTGAGTGTTCTTGTCAGCAGCAGGTTGGTTGATTTTCGCAACATGTCGTCAATCTCTGTTGAACTGGACACACAAAGTTTAAGTTGAACAAGTCCAGATATTTTACAGTTGCATGACAAAGAGACAAGGAAGATTAGAGATGTAGAAGTGTTTTAGTGTCCACCTCCACCTACTGAAAAATTAACATAATGTATAGCAATTGTCCTTTGAGACCAACCTGCGGTGTAGTGACTCTGAGAACTTGAGGCTGGCGTAAATGAACTCTTTGACCTGCGTGTAGATCTGAGGGACAGACTGGGACATTGGCAGCTTCTTCGGAAAGTCCTGCTGCTTACATACACACACACACACACACAAAGAAAACTACAGTATTAAAGCTTTGTGAATATCTACTGAGGACCAACTTCTTTCTCAATCTTTCTCTTTTATGTGTGTGTCTGCATGTGCAATAAGGTAATCAGAACTAGAAATCTTGCTTGGATGTATATGGTCCTTGAACATGTTACCTTCTCTATCTCAGCATCGTGGAAGGGAAAGCGGCTGACTACCAGTTTATACTCCTCCTCTGTCTCCACTGGGATGGGACTATAGTTGTCCAACTCAAAGATCTCCCTGTGAAAAATGACACAATTCAGTATTTGTGCACACTTACAGTATTTGTCCAAGCTTTTAGAGTCTCTCTCACTATTACACAAATGTCATAACAGTACAGTAGGGGGTGGCTGTGGCTCAGAGGTAGAGTGGGTCGTCCACTAATCGGAAGGTTGGCGGTTCGATCCATGGCTCCTCTCGCTGTGCGAGTAAGACACTGAACCCAAAATTATGTATGTGTATGAATGATTAGTTTCCGTTCTGGTGAGCACCTTGCATGGTAATATGCTGTAGCTGTATTTGTAGCTATCAGAAACAATACACAAACTAAATTCAAATTGTTGTCTAAAATTACTTATTATAATAGGTTACCTAACCTGATCAACATTTTGATGTATTTTAAATCTTTTGTGGAAAATCCACAATAGACACTCCTAGCACTTGTTGGAATGATGACATTTAGCCTGATATCTCCTGTTTCCTTGGCCAAGGGCTCATGACTTAAAGGATGAAAACTCCAGAAACTCATGTAATATGAAGAACAACTTAAAGGTCCAGTGTGTAACATTGTACCATGGGATAACAATGGTTTTGTTGGTGACGTGTTTCTAGTGATGTGTCTCTTGTGTGTTCAGTCCTTATGACTACTTTTTCCTTTCCATGCATCATGCATCATGCATGTAAGTGAAGTTGTGCCAGAAACCACCACTCTACAAAAGCTAATTTATGAGGGAGAAACTTCAAGAGAAAAAACTACAACTCTGAAAGAATGAAATTATGTCTTTGGTCTTTGGCAAAACAAACATAAGGATTTATCTACCTGCATAAGTATCTCATATGTAAAATTATTAAATGCAATCGCAGCCCACCTGAAAACCAGTGCCCACTTCTTCAGCAGAGTTTCGTTGTACTGGTCTCTGACTTCAAACAGCAGGTCAAAAAGCCGGTTCACTGGGAAACCATAACCCTGTGCCCACAAACACAGACATCACACATACAGAAAATCAAGTGTGTTAATCTCAGTTTTTCTGCACACTTCAGAGTCACAAGCTGTTCAAATGAAGCATAGCTCTGAACCCACCTGTAGTGTGTCAGCAAAGATGACTATGAGGTTCTTTAGCTCCAGCACCAGGTCTGGGTCATCACAGTATGACTGAGGACAAAAAAACATCATGATCAACAAACAACAGCAGTAGCAGCAACAATACTATCATGTATGAAGGAAGCGTTATATTAACTGTTGGCCATTATATGAGAAATTCTGAGTGTCAAATTTAGGCTCTACATAGTATTAGGGGATTGTTGTGACGTGGACCTTTTCTATTGTAACACAGGGAGTCTCTTACTGGAACACTGCTGCATATACTAACTGTACTAGCACAGCAACAGTAACTAATGGGGGCAGGGGTGTAGCCAAGAGTCCCCTCCATTTTTTTGCAGTGGACAGTGATTTATGACCCTGAAAGCAGCACAGTTGAGTCCCTTACACTGACACAAGGATCCCGCCAATCAGAGGAGTGTATAAATCAACATAGTAAATGAACACAGCCTGAGATTTGACGTAAAGCAGCGTCCGCCTGCCGCTTTGTTTACTCAGACACACACATACACACACCAATAATCAGCTGGAGACTGGACTAAAGAGCAGCAAATCACAGCAGTGGCAGGAATGTACTTCACAGGTTTAGACAGTTTTTTTAGACTATATCTACCATGTTCTGATCCATGTTATAAAAGAACAATGAGGCATTTGTTTATTTTATAAATATTTAAGACTTTGTAAGACCACTATGAATGCAATTTAAGACCTATTTTACATACATACTGACAAAAAAGTACAAAAAACTGTTGTTGTCACAGCATGATCAATACAATTTTTTCAGTCGGTCACTAATTCAGTCGGTAGAGCTGGCGACCCATATACAGAGTTGCTGCAGCGGCCCGGGTTCGAATCTGACCTGCGGCCCTGCTGTGTGTCATCCCCTCTCTCTCTACCCACCTTTCCTGTCGATCTTCAGCTGTCTCTATCAAATACAAAGGCATAAAAATGCAAAAAAAATAAATAAATAATTAGTTAAAGTTATAGAAGTTAAAATCATATTTAAGGCTTAATTTATTATTTATTCTGATTATTGCATTTAGACTTCTTTAGACTTTTTAAGACTGCATCGACAACAGACTTTCTCCCTGCGGGCTGACCAGGCAGTGGCTGTAAGGGCTTGACCCTGGCAGTGTGAAACTGCCTGTGTCGTGGCCTAGCAGAGGGACTGGAGGCCAAGGGGGAGACCAGGGCCTTTGTTAGTCTTCTCACCCCATGCTGTGCAGGCCATTCTATGGCCTGTTAGCATAATCCTCTGGGTCATTTACAACTGACTGTAGCCCAGCAGTCAGGAATATGCCTTCTTAATCTGCTGTTATTGTTGCATCTGTCTCTCATTAAGGGCCCAATGACCTCTTTGGCTGCATGCGTATGTGTGTTTTGACCTCTTCTCCTGAGAGTGACATCATTAGTGTGTTTGAGGGTGCACAGATCTCCAGTGTTGTGTGTGTGTGTGTGTGTGTGTGTGTGTATGTGTGTGTGTCAGCCAGTGAATGAAGATTCTCCCAGTATAAATAGATCCACAGCAGGCTCTATTATCTCCATGAACTCTCAACAGTCTCCTTCTCATTCGCAGTTCACTCCCTGCTGACTGAGTGCGTGTGTGTGTGTGTGTGTGTGTGTGTGTGTGTGTGTGTGTGTGTGTGTGTGTGTGTGTGTGTGAGCCTACAGAGTGTGTGCGGAGCACAGCTATGATCTTGGACAGGGCCATGTTCCACAGCTCATCCGTAAAAGCTCTGGTCACCAGCCCTTGCGTGGCGTGGAGGATATGGTCCTCAACGACAAAGAACCTGATAACACACACGCACAAAATACACACATCTCAATACTTTATTTATGTTCACACTGAAAAAAGCTGACTAACTGACAAACTTTGTTAGAAACACTAATGAAACAGAGATTTAAATGTCAGCAGAAGGTGATGTTAAAGACAAAATGTTTGATAAAGGTAGAATGTGTGACAAGCAGCATTATAATGAAGTACTGTAGTGCTGCAGAGACGCCCTGGTCTACAAATCTTGTTCTCCAGATGTTGTTTGGTACAGACCCAAACAAGTGTCACATATGTATGCTAATAATAAACTAGTTAATGGTGAATATCTATGCCTTAATAATACAAATACTATATACTGTGACACTTAAGTGAAAATTGAAGGAACGTCTTACCCTACAATCTGATTGAAGTATCTTCTGTAGCCTTCCACTGTCTCATGCTGAATACACATAAAAAGCCATGTTTACACACTGTACATAAATGCAAAAAAATATATATACGTTATCATCGTGTGGTATTACATTTGTGAGCAACAACTGTTTTGCATACGCTCATTGTAGGTGTGTTCAGTGAGATTCTAACGTCCAAAACTGTATAACTGGTTGCATAACGAAATTTAAGCAGATGTTTTACACACTAAGTGTAGAAATTCTATTTGACTAAATAATCGTTCAACTTATCATGATAGCATAGCAAGTTACTGTACAAGCACATGGGGTAGAAGCATGCATTACTGTTTGCCATGGTGTACCAATAGGGACATCAAAGACAGAACATTTTAAATTCTAGTGGCTTGAAGTTGGAATTTAGCACTTTTAGTGAAATGCAAACATTACCCACTAAAATAACTGGAAGGGTCTGTTTATTTCAACTTTAATTGTTTATAAAGGAACAGTGTGAAGGATTTAGTGAAGTTGCAGATTTGTTCCAAGTGTGTACTAGAAACTATGGTGGCAATGAAACTTGCGAAAAAACACAAAAGGCCAAGTCTAGAGCCAGTGTTTGGTCTGTCTGTTCTGGGCTACTGTAGAAACATGGCGATTCACCATGGTGTAGTGTAGTGTTGCTCACCATGTTAGCCTGTGGCTGCAGTACTAGGCGGGCCTGTTTCTTCCTCTGTTTCCTGTAGTAGTTTTCAAATGTTTCTCGGTCACCCTGCAGACACAGAGAAATGCAACAAACTTCAATAATGGCTGCCATGCAAGATGCAAAATGCCAACTTTCCAGAATAGAAACTAATCATTCATACACACTCACACACCGATGCACAGCATCGGGAGCAATTTGGGGTTCAGTTTCTTGCTCAAGGACACTTCGAACTGCATGTCGAAGTGTCCTTGAGAGGAGACGGGGAATGAACCAACTTCATTCCAAACAACTTTCAGGTGCACTGAAATGATTCAAAACGCATACACACAATAGCCTACTTATAGCCTAGTGTGAGTGAAGGTGGTGGGGTGTGAAAGTTTACAGTGTGCATGTGCACATTTGGGCTGGGGGGGCTGTGGCTCAGAGGCGGAGCGGGTCGTCCACTCATCGAGGGTGGTTGATTCGATTCCCCGGCTCCTCCCACCACGTGTCGAAGTATCCTTGAGCAAGATACTGAACCACAAATTGCTCCTGATGCTATGTATCAGTGTTTGTGAATGTGTGTGACTGTGCATGAATGAGTTCAAGTTTCTGTTCACTTTGCCATCACACATTGTGCGAATGTGTGTGAAAGGGTGAATGTGGCACGTAGTGTAAAAGTGCTTTGAGTGGTCAGAAGACTAGAAAGGCGCTACACAAGTACAGGTCCATTTACCATTTACCACATTTTCAATGTGTGTGTGCACATATTTCAAATGTTTGTACCCTAATTGGCCTCTCAGCTAAGAATCACACCTACATTTAAGTGAAAAGAAATCAAGAAAAGCACCTGGTACCAAAAGCCAGTCAAGTCAAGCAGAGTCATGTTGTACCATGCAAGTACTATGCATGTGTGTGTGTGTGAGACAGAGAGTCACCTACCAGCACAGTGTAAATGTGTAAACACCTGTAGACAGGTGAGAAGTCCACCAGGTCCTGAGCTGTAAGAACCTGTCAGACACAGATGAGGGAACATTACTGGCAAATATTTATTTTAGGCAGCTCTTATTTATGCAACATTACAAAAAGACTTACTAGTGAGAAAGCTGTGACATATGTAATATAACCAACACTCTGTTTAGGAAAAGATGAACACAAACATTTCAGTATCCCCACCTCTTCATCTCCTTCCTCCTCATCTCCTGTGTCATCGTCCATCATCAGGCCATTGTGAGTGTGTGTTCGTCCATTGAGGGAGTACACAGGCTTGGTGTAGTGGCCCATACAGGCCTGCTTGGCTACAGCACTGTTAAAGGTCCTGTGCTGCTGTGCCTAGAGGGACATACAACACACACAAACACAGATCAATGATCTGATAAATAACTTTTCACAGCTATTGGGGGTAATGTAGAAATACAAACTCTCATACCTGTCTCATGGCAGTCTCTCCAACCTTGTCAGAGTGTTTTCTGATGCTTTCTAGGAAGTCCTTGAGGTCTGACATGGATATCTCCTTGATCTCCTCTCTCAGTCTCGGCAGGTTTTCAGCCATGATCTGACAGAACCTGTACTGACTGACCCTGCAGGGGACAAAGTCCATTTATGCCCAGTTAAAAGTACTACTGAATCTAATATATTGGATTTTATATGAAAAAGAATGCAATACAACAGCTGTCAAATTAACCATCTACCAATGAGCATCTAATATGCTACTAATACCCAAGCAACATTACCGTCAGTTATACTGGTAACACTTCTAGCATGATTTGAGATTTTTTTTCTCCTGATATTTTTCTTTGGAGAGCCAAAAACAAGACTCCTTGTGAATAATAATGTGGCTCTGGGTGTGTTAGATGTGTAAATAGACCATTTTGTGCTTAACTATTAACCAGAAGAACCCAAAAATTTAATTAATGCAGCTTTAAGTGTAAGCGATGGTTACAAAGAGAAAGGTGGTTTGCTTTGATGGGTCAAGTAGAAAGACTAGATTGTTCAAAAGTGTATGTGTTTTGGACTTTTTGGTTATGCCTAGCAGTAGAGCATGAGGTCATCAAATGGACACTTTGCAAAACTGACACGCTATTATCTGATTTCAATCACTTTATCATATTGATCAGCAAACACCTTGGCTAAAGTAAACCTGCTTTTCAGAGCATCTTTGGAGTGCTCCTTCAAGATTGCTTACGGTACAATCCTACCTGGGGATGTAGACCTTCTCCAGCTGCTCCATGGTTTTCAACGCAGCGTAGTATCTGCAGAGACAAATGGTACAGCTTCACTCACAACCATTAAAAGGATAGATTCACAACTTTATCAGTCACACCTCCTGTGTGGTCCCGTTACGGAAGACACCACGCCCCAAGGAGCCTAACCACTTCAGGCCTGTTGCCTCCCATCTGATGAAGACTATGGAGAGGATCATCCTGAGACACCTGCGACCCCTGGTGGGCACACAGCTGGACCCCCTGCAGTTTGCTTACCAGCCTGGTATTGGGGTGGACGACGCAGTAATCTACCTGCTGCACAGATACCTGTTACACTTGGAGGACAGCGGGAGCACGGTGAGGGGTCATCTTTTTTGACTTCTCCAGTGCTTTCAACACTATCCAGCCGTCACTGCTCAGAGTGAAGATGGAAAGTGTGGGAGTGGACAAACACCTGGCTGCCTGGACAATAGACTATCTCACCAACAGACCACAGTATGTGAGGCTCCAACACTGTGTCTGACGTTGTGCTCTGCAACACAGGTGCCCCTCAGGGTACAGTGCTCTCTCCATTCCTCTTCACCCTTTACACCTCAGACTTTATCCACAACTCCACACTGTGCCATATTCAGAAGTTCTCAGATGACACAGCCATTGTTGGGTGTGTTTCTGAGGGGAATGAACTGGAATACAAGACTGTCATCAGGGACTTTGTCAGCTGGTGTGAGCTCAACCAGCTTCAACTAAACACTAGCAAGACGAAGGAGATGATTGTTAACTTCAGGAGGAAAACATCCCCCCGGTGAACATCCAGGGATTGGACATTGAGGTGGTAGATAATCATAAATTCCTGGGTGTTCACCTCAATAAAAAACTGGACTGGACTGACAACACCCATGATCTCTACAAAAGGGCCAGATTCGCCTCCACCTGCTGAGGAGACTGAGGTCCTTCGGAGTAAGCAGGGCTCTCCTCAAGACTTTTTATGACTCTGTGGTGGCTTCACCCATCTTCTATGCTGTGGTCTGCTGGAGAGGGGGCAGTACAGACAGGGACAGGAAGAGACTCAATAAACTGATCAGGAGAGCGAGCTCTGTCCTGGACTGTCCTCTGGACTCCACAGAGGAAGTGGGTGAGAGGAGGATGTTAATGAAGCTGACATCCATCATGGACAACACCTCTCACCCCCTACATGACACTGTGGGGTCCCTGAGTAGCTCCTTCAGCAGCAGACTGTTATACCCAAGGTGTAAGAAGGAGAGGTTCCGCAGGTCTTTCATCCCTGCCGCTGTCAGACTCTACAACACTTGATCAATGTTGTAGTTTCTGTTTTTTTTTAATTACCACCATACCATAGTTTTACCACTTTACCATAGTTTTTTTTTTAATCTGTATTTATTTATTTCACGTAAACGCTGCTGTGACAAGGGAATTTCCCCATTGTGGGATTAATAAAGTATTATTACAACAACATATGTTAAAACAGTTTTTGCTTTCTGTATTCATTCCTCCTGTTCATACGTCTCTCTCTCTCTCTCTCTCTCTCTCTCTCTCTCTCTCTCTCTCTCTCTCTCTCTCTCTCTCTCTCTCTCTCTCTCTCTCTCTCTCTCTCTCTCTCTCTCTCTCTCTCTCTCTCTCTCTCTCTCTCTCTACATGCAATTGACATATTGAGCCCATTAGCCAACTGTAATGATCTGAGCAACTCTGTAATAAATGTAATGTATAATGTAAACATGATAAGACTAGTAGATTAAGCCAGAGTAAATAAAGAACTCAAGAACGGCTCTGTCTATAATAAAGAGGGAGGAAGGGAGAAGGTTGAAACCTCTTGTGTAATTGTTGATGAATGAATGCAGGTGTATTTGATGGTTCTCTCTCTCTCTCTCTCTCTCTCTCTCTCTCTCTCTCTCTCTCTCTCTCTCTCTCTCTCTCTCTCTCTCTCTCTCTCTCTCTCTCTCTCTCTCTCTCTCTCTCTCTCTCTCTCTCTCTCTCTCTCTCTCTGCCATCGCCTAGTGCTATACAAATAAAACTTAAGTGAATTGAATGAAAAGAATGAATCTGGAAGTACATAATGAAGGAGTGGATTTTTTAAGGGGACCATCACTGATTTTACACATAACAGTGTGTTTGTGTGCGAGGAGTGACTATTTGCTTGCAAAAAAACAATGGCTGCTGCTAAAGCGCTTAGCGTAGATGCTAGCATCAGAGATATTTCTTTATTGAAAGAAGAGCAAAGAAAAAGAAAAGAAAATTCTTTTTTTCCCTCTTTTTCTATTCTTACACACACACACACACACACACACACACACACACACACACACACACACACACACACACACACACACACACACACACACTTGGACGTGCAACAGGGAGAGTGGAGTGATGGGCTGCCACGTTGGTGGCACCCATGAGCAGTTTCTTGGGGTTAGGTTGCCTTGCTCAAGGGCACCTTGGCAGTGCACAGGAGGTGAAACTGGCACCTCTCCAGCTACCAGTCCACACTCCATATTGTGGTCTGTGGGATTTGAACCGGCGACCCTTCAGTTCCCAAGCCAAGTCCCTACACAGCTACTGATGCCCCACATTTAAAATTGTAACCTATATTAAAGTATGGTTGGTTTAGATTGCCTACTGATGGACCAATTACTCACATTTCAAGGCCAAACAGGAATTAAATAGCTGCATGTATGGCTAATACACAGTATTTGGCCACCTGTGTTATAAAGATATTGTGGTCTTTCGTAGTGTGCATGCATCACAAGGGTTCAGCCTTGGGTCAGTGTGCTGAGCTCCCATCATTAGGCTGATAGGCAGGCTGTGAAGGGATCTAATTGGTCGGTCAGTGAGTGTAAAATGTGTTGCATACACATGAACAGAAGACAGCCTCATAAACTGTACAGTGAAAAGGTTTGTCTGAGTGCACAGCACCAGGACGAAGGACAGTGAACAGAATGTGACCTGGGCATCAGCACATACATTATAGATAATAAGATGCATTTGCGCCAAACAAACTCATTCCAATTTATAGTGAGTGTATAGGCTATGTCATTAGTGCTTCAAGTACACTCCACACACACAAAAATCCTACAAGGTGGCCAGCACGGTCTAATTGCCTTGGATTGGCTGTGGGTCATGACAGAGCTGCAGTATGCCCTTGCTGTGAACAAGGGCACACTGAGGGTCAATTGTCCTGCCAATGAATAGCCTCTTCCTTTTTAGTACACAGTAATGAACAAGAAAGGGTCATTATTTTCCTGTCCAAAGTGAACTCCCCTTCCCTCTTTATACAGCCACATTAATATGGATAAACAAGAAGTTCACGGGGTAAAAATGACGTTCAATCAAACCCCGAGAGCAGTGGATGAGCTCAACAGTTTGCAGATTGGTCTGATAGGGTGTTTGAGTGCGAAACACTTGTTTAGAATGGACAACAGAAACATGTATAGTTTTGTCCACTATTTCAGTAACACTTCCATTTACCTAAATGTGATTTAATACCAGGTTGCAAAGCAGTCTTTCACAGCCTGCCATGGTTCAAAGTTTAGCCTTTGATCACATCCAGCATCACTGATAATAGACTTGATTAGGACATAAGGATGCAGCCTTAACTGAAAACCTTTTGATAATATTGTTACATTTTCTGAATATATTTCTAAGGCATGACATGGGAAGAGAAAGGATAAGATAAAGATAACAATAAATAAAATCCTCATTAAACACATAGGTTTGACCTATTTGAAGGTCCTGTGAATTATGTCCATAAACCAATACAATGACAGACATAACATAACTATCAGGGTTCCCACCCTTAAAGAAATCATTTTCCAGGACCTTTCCAAAACATTTTCCAGGATTTTTTTTGACAATACAGGACAGCACAGTAACACAAATGCTCATATAATTTGCTAGTATTTACACATTTAACTCCTTGTTAAATGATGCAGGGTTCATGATGTATCTTAGCTTTATTACAGGTAGCTGGTCAGTGTTGATGGGACTCTCTGTGTTACCTTGCTTTCTTGGCTGTTCTCACCAAAGTGTATTTTTCCACTGCGGTCTCAGATTTTCACAATTCAATGTCCGTTTTGTTTTGTGTTGCAACTCAATTGACATGCTCAAATTTAGAATATTCGTTGACAAGGTTCACAGGGTAGGAAAAGTTACTCTTTAAGAATCTGTGAATCACAGTTTTACAACAGTCACATTGTGATGGAATGCTTTGTGTGATGGATACCTTTTGGATTCCAGCTGCTCCTTTAGTTTGCTGTACATTTCTAGCACTGCAAGGGAAGAGAAGATGGAAAAGAGGAGTTTGTTGGTTCAATAATTTCACTCACTTTTGCTCCTGAAGAACAAATTTAGTGTGCATACAAACATGGTAAATGGTAAATGGTCCTGTACTTGTATAGTGCCTTTCTAGTCTTAGCCACATTCCACATTCACCTTTTCACACACATTCACACAGTGATGGCAAAGCCCACTGAAAACAAATTAACTCATTCATGCACATTCACACACCGATGACACAGCATCAGGAGCAATTGTGGGTTCAGTATCTTGCTCAAGAATACTTCGACGTGTGGCAGGGAGGAGCCGGGGATCAAATCAACAACCTTCTGATTAGCAGGGGCGGAGCTAGAGGGGTGGCCAGGGTAGCACTGGCAACCTCTGGAACCTGATTGGACACCTCGGGTGCCACCCCAGTTAATTGACAGGGCACTGCACGTCACGTCAAAAACAGCACAATTTTTAAACGCAAAAAGAGAAGGCAGAATAAACGTCTTTCAAATCACTGGCATGGATGGAGAAGACACGCTTTCAGCGAATACATCATATTTTAATTTTATGAATGAATGACGGTGCGCTGGTTTAATTGCTGCGCCAGAAACTGAAAGTGAAACTTAGGTCCATTTCCTCCAGCCATTTTCCGTTTGTCATGAAGCTCTTTTTCCTGAGTTTAACTCAACAGTCAAGAAGGCTTGTTAGGTACCAGGTTAAAGTATCCCAGTATTTTCCTTTATTAGGCCTAGTATATGGCCCCCCTGATAAAGCCTTGACCACCCTCTGGCCACCCTTTGTATAAAAGTCTAGTTCCGCTACTGCTGATTAGTGGCTGACCTGCTCTACCTCTGAGCCAGAGTATATACTGGACTACAATTTTTATCAGCCAAAAGTTGAGTTAAGTTCAGTCCAACTCTGATGTCATTTTTAGAAGACAAGGCCAAACTAAAAATATTTCAGGTTACTAGTAGATTCAATTGAAGTTGCTGACCTCCTTCTCCAGTGACCTGTCTATGAGAGAATAAACAGTGTATTCTATGTAATGTTTACCCAAAAACATGATTATTACCAAAATGTCTCTATTTAACTTGAATGGATAATCAACCTTCAATCAAGTCTTCTGTTGCTGCAACAAGGAGTTGTAGCAGTATCTCCTTCCCTTTTGTAAATAATAGCATTGCCATACCTAAACTACAGAAGAAAGGAAGTAATTCTTGTTTTTTTTAAAGAAAGTTATTATATTTCTTTAATATTTAAAGAATTACATAAGCTCTTATCATGGCTGCCACTTGTTGCTCAACATACCCACGATTTCTGGTAAGGTTTTGAATTCGTCATATTCAAGGAACAAGTTCACGTATATGGACCTGAGTGGCACCATGAGGCCACTTATACCTCTTTTCCACCAACACAATTAGGATTAGCCGATTAAGGGCAGGTGGCTTATCTTGAACTAGTTCAGTGCTTTTCGCAGGCCAAAAAAGGAAAACAGCGCAGCACCAACACATTGTTCCAAAATCAACTAACAATTTTTCTAGGTCGCACTGGTGCACCCGACGTTGCCCGGGTGAAAACATAAATTTATTTTGCAACCGCATCTCTCTGTGTTCTCCTGTGACCGAACTCACACAATCATGGTAGGATCATATCGTGTTCTAAACCAATAAGAGGCAGAGCTCGGGTGGGTCTTTGCCTCTGATTGGCTGTGGTCGTGTTCACCGCGCGAAGTTGTGTTTAAAAATTGCGCGTGACCTGAGCGCCAGAATAGCTGACTAACTGAAACGGAAAAATAAAATAAACGCGACAAAAACGCGCCTACAACCAGCCCTAAATCTATAATCCCATCCATCCCCACTACTGAGAGTCGATCCCGTCAAGACACGGAGCCCTCGGTCCCTGGTGAGATGCCAAGCCCCGGTCCTTCGGCGACGGCATCAGACTTGGAACCAGAGGAGGAGATAACAGAGTCTGGGATAGAGCCCGGCTCCGAGACCCAAATTAAAAAGGCCAAAATATATTCCTTCAGACTGGACTAGCTGAAACGATTTCCCTGGCTGAGGTACAACAAAGGACGTAACGCAATGCACTGCGTGTACTGTCAGGAGAGATTCGTGAGCGCGTCAACACTGTTTCGTATCAAAACTTTAAAAAAACATAACATGTCTAAAAACACACGATATGCCGTGACAAGTGTGTAGAGAAAGTGGCCCCTCTCCCAGCTGCATTTCAGCGGCAGGTAGTAGTAATCAGGTCCTCTTTTATTTGGAAATGTTTTATTTTGCTTAGTGTTTTAGTTTGAAATGTTCAATTTCAGCTCAGTGAAGTACTTTAAACACTTTATTTTTCTTTTTATATATAATTGTGCTTCAAATAAAGACAAGCATTTCTCTACACCTTATTCTTGTTTAAAAATCATTCACATTATATGAAAGTTATGGCCCTGAGTGGTACCTGGTATACAGAGCTGGAGCTTCTCCACAGTGGTGGCCATGTTCCTCTGCTGGATCCGACAGCGGATCACCTCCTCTGTCTGAGCTGTCACCTGAGGGAAGAAACAAACAATGAACAGAGACAATGAAAGAGAGGCCATCACTGGGTTAAACAACGGTCACGTCTAATGCAGAACTGTCTCTGCTAACAAGCATGCATATGTCCTGACAGCACAATAAGAAGACAGTTTTTTTCTCCTGCACTTTCATGCACACACACATTCATGGTCTTACCTCCCTCCCAGCTTCTTGTAGTCTTCGATTAGTGTCTGTCACTTGACCCTTTCAAAACAAACAGACGTCAGTTTAACTGTACAGCCACAGTGTTTCTCCTTTCATTCTTTCCTCTACTCATGGTTTCTACAAATTTTTGTTTGTTAACAAATCCCATATGTCTTCTTACTCTGTGCCACAGAACTCCATGGCTGTCCAAATGCTATTAAAAACACATCAATGATCCACACTGTTGCACTGAGTGACATGTCTTTTATTACAATAAACATACACACTGTACTTCGTGTGTACTACTTAGTCCTACATACAACGTCCTGATGCTCACTCATAAGATGCGGATTAATCCCCTGCTGAAAATACTGCACTACTTCTTCCTGGTTGAATAATGTTTGCTAAAAATTAAAGTGATCGGCTGTTTTAGGATTACTATGTCTTTTTAAAAATGAAAGGATGTATTTGTTAACTGCTTTTGAAGATTTACATCTTCAGTAGGAGCCAATGGGCTTGGGACTGAGAGCTACATACAGGAGAGGGAATAGGTAGACTAACACATTGTTGGATTTTCTCATGACATTTGTTGAAAAAAGAGAAAGATGTAATAAAACCAGCATTATCATGTTGAAAACAAACAAAAGGCAAGCAGGTCTGAACTTCATCAACATCTTGAAAGTTGACATCTATAATTACTCTCATGTGATTAAGGTGGGGCTCACTAGCATGTTAAGCGTTTCTGTGACAATATAGGTTTCATTCCATAACACTTCATTCAAGAGGTTTATTATCATATGTACAGTATAAACACAAGGCTAGTACGCACAATGAAAATCTTACTTTGCCCGACTCCCTGAGGTAACACACAAGTAGAACAGTAAGAACATAATAATTAAAAAAATATAAACATTTTCAATATAAAATCATACTTGTATTTCTTCAACACTTTTTTTTAGAATGGCAAATGGTAAATGGACCTGTACTTGTATAGCGCCTTTCTAGTCTTCCAACTACTCAAAGCGCTTTTACACTACATGAATGTAAGAATACCTTGGTATTGGTTCAGCCAAACATGCTGTCACATGTCTATCCATCCCTCCGCTATCTGTCTGCACCCCCTCTTTATGCCCTCTCTTTTCCCCCTCTACCTCCCTCAGTGCAGCTGCTAAGCCTTGTAATCAGCTCATTGTCCATGAAGGGGCAAGGACAAAGGCAGGCAAATTCAGATTAACCAGGCAGCGGGGACCTGAACCCATCATCGGTGCACTGGGCCTTTCATGGGGTTTAATGGCTTGTGACAGGCTCTTTCTCACAGATTCAGTGACAAACTTCTCGATTCTGGATGGGGATTTTTGAACTCTCGGCTCTTGTCACACGGCTGAGAGCCATGACCCAATTGACCAGTCGGCTTTTTGATGACAATCCTTTCAACAGTGAAACTTCCAAACAAGGGGGACCGACTACATAATCACTGCTTCTTTTATCATTCAGCTAGAGTGCAGCAGCACAGCAAGAGTGCTTGAGAGCAAAGAGACAAGTGGCATTTCTAGAAACTTAACCAAGACTGTTATCTAATGCTACACTGGTCCGCGACCTTTCTATTATGGGACAGTGTCTGTACTCATTATCTACCATGTCCAATTATAGAGAAAAGTTGGTTGGTAGCCCTATCTACAAGTGCTAACTCAAAAGGGAACTGGATATAAAGCTATAATATGTAACATTCCTGCATTAAAATGTCTATAAACACTAGACCTATGCTCTATATGTAGTTCAGTAGTGTACTTATATTTTCCCAAATGTTTCCAACAATGTTCAAACTCAGGTAACGCTGCGTTTCACCGGCTTGTCAATGGCATCATATCCCCTCTGTGCCTGCGTCAGCGTTGTGGTTGTCTGCCAGAAGCTGTCATACATTGACTTTTTATCCAGTTTGACGCCACATTTTTTACCATACATTAGATCTTGGTGCTTTTTAACTCTACATTTTAACCAGATGAAGGATTTTAGTCATCGGACCTCTGGATCCTAAGTTATCAGAGAAACAAGCTGAGCTGAAGCTCGAAGCCCCTCCGGGACATCCTTTGTCTGCACAACAGCGCGGGAGAAGCAGTAATTTTTAAGGTGGAACTGCTTTATTCAGTGTTTTTAGTGGTTTTAATCAGTCCATTTGTTTTGGAGAGGAGGAGACCTCTGTGGATAATTGGGCCCCCGCTAGAAACCTCCTGAACCATGAACACTGAAAGAATCCAAACCAGACAAGCTGACTGCAATGACAGCAATGGTGGTGAACAATTCCCATGATCCCACGCTACTTTGTGACATCACCAAACTGAGTGTGGCATGTAGTGTTCAGCGCATTGAGTGGTTGAAAGACTAGAAAGGCGCTTTATAAGTACAGTCCATTTACCATTTACCATTCTTTGGCCTGTGGTCCTATTTACAGTAATCTCTCTTACCATCAGTTTCTCTGCATCAGCACGGACTTTGAGGAGCTCTGTAATGGCGTCCACGAAGCCCTGGTGGTGGAAATTGCACATCTTCTCAATCTCACGGTCATGGTTCCTTATCCTGGCATCCAGCTTTTCCATGAAACGCTTGTGGGCATTGGGCTGGTCATCGTAAATAGACCTGAGGGAGACAAACAAGTGAGGGGGGTATGGCAGGACGGAAGAGATGGCAAAATGAAGAACTGTCAGAACAACTAATAGAATGAAAATGATTTGCGCATTTGTCACTTTGCATAGGTCCCATCTGCAGTCAGATGGAGGTTCTCACCACAGCTCCACTTAGCAACCTGGGGAAGATGTGGACCTGAATATTTGTTAATTTCAATTTTGAGATTCAGATGTTCAAAATTAACATTCAACCTGCTTTGACCATCATTTCTATTGGTTACAGTAACATTTAAAGTTGCAGTAGGTAACTTTTCCAAAAAATAACTTTTTGTACATGCAGTGAGAGGAGCCAGGGATTGAAGTGCTAGTGGGGAGTATGCACAGTTGTTTGCACATCATTGTAAAGAACCCTGCTATGAATCACCACTCGTCATCCAATAGAGAGAGAAGAAGAGAGCTTCAGAGATAACTACAAACTACAAATAGTGTAAACAGACACCATTAGCATGGACCTTGGCCTATGACCAAGCGGCTGTGTCTCAGAGGTAGTTGTCCACTAATCCCAGGTTCAATCCCCGGCTCCTCCCACCACATGTCGAAGTATCCTTGAGCAAGACACTGAACCCCGAATTGCTCGGTGAATGTGTATGAATGTGTTAGTTATGTGTGTGAAAGGGTGAATGTAGCATGCAGTGTAAAAGCGCTTTAAGTGGTCGGAAGACTAGAAAGGCGCTATACAAGTACAGGTCCATTTAACCACATTTTTTTCCCACACATATCCACAAACTGTATTACTGTTCATTCAGTTGTTCAATGGTTTAAAAACAATATGGTCTTAAAAGGTCCATTGTTTAAACTTAATTGTAGGATCTATTGTCAGAAATGGAATATTATATTTATAGGTATGTTTTGATCAGTGTATAATCACCTGAAAATGTGAATGGTTGTGTTCTCGTTACCTTACAATGAGCTGTTTATATTTACAGATGTAAATGTCATTTCATACCGCCATGTTTCTTCAGTAGCCCAGAACGGACAAGCCAAAACACTTGATCATACAACAGGAACACCAGATTGGAAAGGAAATAATATTCATTCTTGCGCATTCTAAAGCCATACAACTAATTTAACTGCAAGAATACAAAACAAAAACACTACTTTAAAGGTATTGTGCTTCTGCTATAGTAATGATGAATGAAGATCCCAGACTGACAAAATCTCTGAGCCTACCACCTACACTACCAACATTGACCATTTATTTCAGCTGGAGTAATTGCTCCATCTAGTGACACTGTAGTGAAATCGCAGGTTCATAAATAGATGATAAATTAATATATCAATTAGTTATTTTGTGAATTCTGAACATGTCTGACAATAATTTATGGATTACCTAAAACCTGGTTGTTCTCTCCAATCTAATGATTCCAGTCACAACGAATACATCGTTCTGTCATGTAACAATGTAACAATTTTAATTTGGTAAAGGTAGAGCCAGTAACCAGCAGATTGCAGACATATATCAGTCTAGACCTCTGTGGACTTTTTCTCTGTGAAAACATCTGGTTCCTCTGGTTCGTCCTGGTGCTCCTAATGGTATTTGCAAGAATCCACTGGGCCTGAACAAACACAACCAATCATATAGTCATAAATTATTGCCATGGCTTGGCCAAAAGACATGACAGACTTCAAGTTGATCCCCAACCAACCCTAGCTTGCAGTCTTTCATGACTTGCACTTTCTTCATACATTTTAAATTCATGTGTGTTTGTAAGATATTTTCTGTTGTCGCATTATGGAACTATGGGACTCTGGCATGTGAACTATCCTCCTAGCTTTCGTGTATTTTTCCACCTCGCTCTGTGTCCTCTAGATATTGAAGGTGTAGTTACCAGTTGCCCACTGCTGGTAGTAAGGTTGTAATCAATGGTCAACAACACCGTAGGTGATATACACAAAGCAGAAATGCATCTAGCTGGGCAAAGCCAGCATGCTGATATGGTCCGATGATAAGGGGAGATAAAGGTTGAGATTATATTGAAACCCTATGCCAGAGTGTTATCAACTGATTGTTATACCTTAGGCCTCAAGGTTTTGCCTGCTCTATTTTTTGTAGTTCATGCAATCGATAATCAACCCATCATCATTAGAAGAACACTATCTTGAGATACTAAACTTAAGATAACAGCAGCTTTTATCTGCATCCAGCAGCTCTATAGCTCATTGTATAGCTTTTAATTTTCAGTATGATATGAACTTTTCACATACTACCTTACATACATATCAGCCCTAACATAATGAGCACTGACAGGTGAAGTGAATAACACTGATTATCTGGTTATCATGGCTCCTGTCAGTGGGTGGGATGTATTAGGTAGCAAGTGAACATTTTGTCCTCAAAGTTGATGTGTTAGAAGCAGGAAAAATGGGCAGCAAATTTGGGCTTTTGTGATCCAAATTCTACACCCGGTGCCACCCAGCTGGCAACTTCATATTGTTGTGTAAGGCCATGAGAAGAGATGTGCAGCATGAATGGGAATGAATTCCAGTATAATATATTTCTGGCCTTTTCCCTGATGCTCTGAATAAGTCACTAGTTTCTTTTTCGTTATAAAAGAGGGTCTAAAAAGTTTCTAAATCCAGCAAGACAGCTGCCAAGGATTAGGCACAAACAAGTGGCTCTGTCTCACTCACATACCCTTAAAAGCTGTATCGTACAGGTGCTACTGTGTGATTTAATTTCCGTTGCGCGTGCCTGAACATCTCCATAATTACTCCCACGGGACCTCAAAACTGTCAAACTGTGGAAAAATCCAACCACTTGATAATCCCATCTGTTATCCACCTTTATGATAATGAGAGAACTGCGGTCATAGGTGCTGGTAACGATTTTCAGCAACACACCCCTGAGGAGGAGCTGGGGGAGCTGGGGACAAGGCAGGCGGTTGTCATAATTTCCAAAGTACTGAATAATCTATCTAGAAAAATGACGTCCACTTTCCCATGCAGTGAGAAACAAATGTATAACTGATAACAGCATGAAAAGAGAAGGCTTAGACTTTCGCTCTGAAACGTTCTCAAGATTACCAATAAGAGATTGTTATTAAATGGTAAATGGACCTGTACTTGTATAGCGCCTTTCTAGTCTTCCGACCTCTCAAAGCGCTTTTACACTACGTGCCACATTCACCCTTTCACACACATTCACTCAGTGATGGCAAAGTCCATCGAACAGAAACTAACTTTCAGACACACTCACACACCGATGCACGGCATCGGGAGCTATTTGGGATTCAGTATCTTGCTCAAGGATACTTCGACATGTGGCACCAGGAGCTGGGGGTTGAACCCACAACCTTCCGATTAAGGAACAACCCGCTCTGCCTCTGAGCCACAGCCGCCCTTTATTATTATTATTATTATTTATTATTAGGTTATTATGTCTATGCAAAATCATCAAGAAGACCCCCAGATACCCCGGATAGGTTTCATCATTGACCACGATTATTATTATGTATTATTATGAGACTACTATTATTTCTACTGACTAAAACCTTAGTATGAAACAAATAGTATGTGATTTACATACTATTTACAGTGAAATATTACAGCATACAAGCGGTAGTGAGACAAGTTTGGACTTATTTTTAAGAACTGAAATTACATTTTTGTTATTACACAGAGAGTAAAGTACTGAAAAAAGGTACCGTTGGGTATCAATTCAAATGTGAACCCTTTTGAAATCACTCAATAGGGGGCGCCACCAGTTCCAAGCCTGTGAATGAGCCTGGCGCAACTGACTGATTTATTTGGCAATAAGATAAGATCACCAAACTTGATGGATATTTTTAAATAAGCTGTTGAGACATGTTGAACCCAGTCTTGCTATATTATTGCAATAATAATTATATTGGAGTTTTGTAGACCATATCACCAAAATAGTTAGCATAAAAATACCTTGCAATATTGTGATATTATTCAAGGCAATATACCCATACCCATAGGCTGGTTATTAAGGACACACAGCAGCATGAAAATATTTCAATGTGAGTAAATCAACCTTTTTGTCTTCCTAAGTTCACATGGTGGTAGGGAATTGGAATGAGTTGTGCAAAGCTGTATTTTATGCCACACTCTGCAAGGAACTTATTTTCACAGTTTCTTACAGGTCATTTCTTATGGATTCCAGCAGATTCCAACACTTTTTCCAATGACTGTGAAAGTGAAGGTGAAAGTGGCATTGAATAAAACAAAAAGTCTTTGTCTTTTAATCAAAACAAACATGCCTAAAGCTTCAGTTTTCCATGCTGCCAAGTGTTAAAAACAACCCACAGACAGGCAACAAAAGAGAAGGGTGGATAACATTACAAATGAAACTTGAGCCAAATCCAGCGATTTCTGTTAGTCTTTATCTGTCTGCCTATCTGCCCCGATCTTTATCTAACAGCTTATAAATAATATGGTAGATGAGTCACTTGTGAAGCATTAAACATAATAAGCACTTGTCTAAAAATATTTTATCTGGAACTTGCTGCTGATAAACCTTCATGGAAATATACAAAAAAACAGGTGCAGGGAGCTCCTGGTTTGCTTATTTACATACAGTTTGCACAACACCCACACAGAATTCAGTCCACTGTTAATTATTTGATCCAGACAATATTTGTAATTGCTGAACGTTGCAAATAAACATAAAAGAAAACATATTCCATTTTCAGAATAATGAATAAAAAACTGGGAAAGGGTGAATGGACAAATGAACTAATTACGCAACTGCTTTAATGGTAAATGGACCTGTACTTGTATAGCGCCTTTCTAGTCGGCACCGCACCACGGAGATATCTTTAGCCGCTATAGTTAGCCAGCCCCCAGTAGCCGGTGCGGTCCGACCGAAGGTAGCTTCTGTTAGCTCTGTAGATCCCCCGGTAGTTCCCGAGCAGCCGGGAAGACAGGGAGGCTGGGTGACTGAGCGAAGGAAGACTAGAACGGCGAAGCCCACAGGTCACCACCAACCGC